CAATATTATACACTTTTTTAAATTATTATTAACAAGAATATTTCTATTCCACTGTTACATAAAGAAATATTATACAGCAATGCAAACAAAAGTTATATGTAAGTGGTGCTTCAATTTGTATAATGAATATAAAATAGTCTAATGTATCATAAACATAGAGAGTTCAAATTAAATTGTATGTTACATGAACAATATATTACACATAAGAAGACACTGAAAATACCAAAACCGTAATTATTGCTTTCTTAGTTTACTATAATTTACAAGTATAAAATGCATGATTTCTACATTACACAGAAATATGTTGTCCACGCTTTAGCCACATATGAAATGAAAAATACTTGCAAGAAAGTAAACATAATCATATAATTCTAGAAAACGAATGAATATAAAATACGAACAGCATATTTGATAAACGAACGTATTTATGAATAATGTCAATTTTTATTCGTGCCATGAATTTATATATGTATCATCAAGTAAAATATTTGTTCATTTTTTTATAGATTTGTACAAAATACTTTATATATTGTAGTTTAATTATTTTTTGTTTATTATTTGTGACTGAACGAAAATCACGTATTGAAAAGCATTAAGATAACATTTTTTCTGCCTTTGTTTTTACAATCTTAAATTCATCTTAATTCGAATAATCATACAAAATTTCTACCTCAGTAGCAGAAAAGTATCTTAATGTTTTGAGTTCATACTTAATATCTTTAGTAATTGAAAGCTACATATGCTTGAAGGAAATATACTTTTTAGAATATCTGTAATTTGAGTTACGGGAATGTGATTTAGCCCCTACTTCTTTACCCCAATTAAAAAGTTTTTTAAGGTTTAATTACTACAATAAAAGTTCATTTTTACACAGGATATCGCAAATGTAAAGTGCGATATTACATTCAATTATTATACATAATTGATGCTGTAGCTAAATTAACTTCAGTATTTGCATCAGACAAATCAGGTAAAGACAGCATAACTGGTATCACTTGTATTTTTCCTGAATCATCTTCCTGTTGCAAATGGACTACAGCACCTGATTGTAATATTTCATTTGTCATCATTTCATCCGCCATTATTTCTGCAGATTCAATATTATCTGCAGTCACTTCTTCCGTATAAACAGTAGTATCTTCCATATTCATTATAACTTCCGCTGCATCTGAAGCTTCTCTGGAAGTTTCTTCGTACTCCTGATATAATGAAATAGACGTTAACAGATTAAAAAAAATGAATTGTAACTTTCATGCTTTCACGGCCTGGATGTTCATGGTAGCTTGAGACTTTCGGTGGGGAGCCGTGTTCATAAGGAATTGTGTTGTTTCGCCGTTTCGTCAACATTGCACTCTGTATATACAGCGTCGGACGAGACGAACTTACTTTCGTTTCAATACGTCCTTTGACTCCTGAATAAGTTAGCTGCAATGTTGACGAAACGGCGGAACATAATTCCTTGTGGCACGGCTCTCGCCGAAAGTCTCAAACTATCAAAAAATGAATTTTTACAAAACAACAATAAATTATATATACCTGTTCATATACTTGTTCATATTCCTCTGTTATTTCTTGTTCCTCAAATTTAACTATTTGTTCTTCTTTAAAATGTTGATCTCCCTGTTCTTCGTATTCTCCTTCAGGAACTTGAGATTCTGCATTGGTTATACCCTCTTGTTCCTGATCAGAACAAGAAGAATCTTCTTGTATTTTGGGTTTAATATTTCGCCCAGGTACTATCCTCTTAAATCCTGACCCCCCTAAACTTTCATGTCGTCTTTCATGTTTGTTTTTATCACCTAAGTATTTGAAGCGTTGCCTACAGACGCTACAAGAGTATGGTCGTTCATTTGTATGCGTTCTTTCGTGACACACGAGAGCGCTAACTTGTTTACATCTCCATGGACAGTATCTACATTGTAAAGGTCTTTCATCACTGTGTCTATTTTGATGGTGTTTGATTAATTGAATCTTTGTTTTCAAATTAAACCCACAAATTTCACAGGTGTACGGTCTTTCTTCAGAATGAGATATCATATGTGTTTTTAACCTAAGCTGATTTACAAATCTCTTTGGACAATGCGGACAAGGTAACGTTCCTTCTAATCTGTTGTGAGTTACCATCATATGATGTCTTAATCTCACCTCAGAAGTAAACGTCATTTCACAATCTAAACATTTCATAGGATCTTTCTCCATATGAGTGTTCTTAATGTGTGTCCTCAAGATCATTTCTGTTTTGAATGTCTTATTACAATGATAGCACGATGCTCTCTTCTTTTCTGGTGTTCCGTCTACGTCTTCTTTTACAACACCAGGAAGAGATTCATTGTGTATATGAGACATATGCCACTCTAATGATCTAGTCGAAATCATTGATCTGTTACATATGTGACAAGTATATTGTCTACCATCTTTATGAACTCGATTCCTATGTATAACAAGTGTAGAATGATTTGGAAATTTTTCACCGCACACTTGACATGAACATTCTTTTAATCCTCTGCTGTCGGTTTTTTCATGGACTCTCATATGCAACCTTAACCCATCACGTCTATTAAAACCAACACCACAAGTATCACATCGGTACTGACGTTGATCTTCGTGAATCCGTACATGTTGTTTTAAAGTAGAGCTATTTTTAAACATTTTGTCGCAATGTGGACACTCAATGGTATATGCCTTATGCGTGTGCATGTGCTTCGAAAGACTATAAAATGGCACTAATTTGTGGCAAACTGGGCATTCGCGTTTATTACCTACTGGTTGATGTTTGCGTATTCTATGATGTCTAAGACTTGCTGGATTTTTGAAATCTGCTCCACAGTCTTCGCATAAATAGGCTCTTAAAGTTGTGTGCACAGACTTCAAGTGAAAACTAAGTTTTTGTTTAAAAGCAAATTTTTTGGGACATTTTGGACACTGAAATATTTTTTCCCAACTCATATGCTGTGTTTTTACATGTTGATCCAATGTTCCTTGATGTTTAAATTTTTCTCCACAAACATCACATAATTGTCCATACATACTGTCACAATGTTTCTGTTCATGTTGTCGCTTTTTCCCCTTAGAATCTAACATCAAGTCACAATATTTACACAACTTTTTTTTTATGCAGACTACATTATGATTTCTTTTTGCTTTATTTGTTGGAAACTCTTCTAGACAATCTTCACAAAAGTGCATGATTTTATAATCGTGCATTTTCAGATGTTCCTCAAGTATATCTTTAGAAGAAAACGTCTCTGGACAATAATCACATTCTAAATAATGTTCTTCTGGAATATAATCTGCTGGTTGACTTTCGTCTATTAAGTCGGGTAAACTGTTTTTAAGCACAGCATTATTCCTATCTTCATAAAGGGATATTATGTCTTCATCTTTTAGTCTTGTAACAACAATTTTACGTTGTTTTAAATATTCTTGAAAATCTTGTAAGTTCTTTTCTTTTTCTCCTAGAATTCTTGTTAGTTTCTCAATATTTCCATCTGTATAAGATTCATCAAGCTCTTTCTGAAGAGACTCTTTCTTCTTTTTTGCTTCTTCCCATTTCAGCTTAAGTTTTGCTAAACGTGTTAAATATTCTTCAGTATTTACATAAGTTTTTTCATTAGCAGACTTGTCTTTTACAAGTTCTACGTTTCCTGAATTATCATTTTCAATTTTAATAGTACTTGCATTACTATCATTATTATCTTTATCAAACTGTATATTTACAATCGTATCACTTTCTCCATAAACAGATTTTTTATTCTCCTGAGTTTCATTACGTTTAACAAAACGAGTTTGAGTTTCTTCTAGTTTTAAAGGAAGTGAAATATTAGCATGACCTCCTAATACTTTTTCTCGTTTTTTCTTGTACTCTTCAATTTGTTCTTCGATAATCTGTTCTCTTATTTCAGACTTTTTTGTTCGCTCTGGAAATAAATCTTTTTCTTTTGTAGCCAACGTTTCATATCGTTTCAAAATTTTCTCCATAGGTTTAATGTCGAAATTTTTTTTCCCCAAAGATTTATCTTCTTTTTTCTCTAATGGTTTATCCATTTTTTTAACTTTTACTAATAATAATTCATTAGGTTTAGAACCTTTAACAGTAACATACATGATTCCATCTTCCTGATTACTATTGATGTTCAAAGGATTGTTTAAATCTAATTTTTGTACTTTAACATCTTTATGATTTCCACTTTTGTCAGAGACATTAGATTGACAAATATTTTCATCCGTTTCTTCAATGGGATCTTTCTTTGATTGTAATAAAAGTCTTCTTTTTAATATGTTTGGCTGCTTTGAAGATTCTTTTGTACTTTCGCTACTACATACAGTTTCAGATTTAGATATGCTATATGATTCAGCGGTATAATTACTACCTTCTGTATCTTCTACTTTGATGTATGCATTCAGCGATGTATCATATTTGTATGTTGTTTGGTTAAAGTCTGTATTTCTATTATCTGGAATTGAATTATTATCGCAAATAAACACTGGTTGTAAACACTGCTTTGCAGTATTTTCTTTCTGCTGAGTATTTCTTTTTTTTGCTGCTGGCATTTGTATATTAATTTCATCATCAGAATCAGCAACATCGGAACTATCAGGCTGAAATGGTGGATCGTCTGGATCGAATTCTTCTATAGATTCATTATCGTCACTGTTATGTTGAACTATTATATCTTCAAAAATTTCTACAGTAACATTATCATCCGATTCTTTAACAGTATCTGAGATGTCAACTTTTTCCAAACATTTTTGTTCTTCCTTCGTTGAAGATGTCAAATTTTGTACACATATTTGTTCATTATATTTTTTACTACTAAACGAATCAATCGTACTGTGCTCTTTGCAGTTTTCTCTCCTTTTCTCTGTATGTTCAGTATCTACTATAGTCTGCACTTTGTTTATTTCTGTATTCCTTGTTGCTGTATCTGTTAGAGAAATGTGAATAGACTTTAATTTCACTTCTGCTTTTTTGATTTGCATAAAAAACTTATAACTCATTTTTAAGTCACAGATACAGTCCATGCACATTTGAGTCGATAAACTATCATATGGATTTATTTCTTCTAAGTGTTTAAGTTGTTGACTCAATCTCATTTGAATGCCCTTTTCACTAAAAATATCTACTAAAGGAAGCTTTAAACCTGCACAAGTCCTGCAGTATTTCTTTAATTCTTGCTTTGTCTGTTCTGATATGCATAGCTTTTTTTGTGCAGAAATTTTATTGTGCAGAGAAATTTTTGTCAACTCATTTAAACTGTTAGCATCATGAGCCAATAATTTTACACGCGGTGTTATTTTCTTTAATTCATTTATATCTTTAATTTGACCAAACGTTTCTTTATTCGATATTAACAAGGACTTATTCAATTTATAAACTGTTTTCATATCATTATCAGATATATTCAGAGTACTGTCATCGACACGTTTAAGATTATCTACTTTTACTTCGCTATAATTATGATCTCTATTATTCACTTCAATGTGCTGCATTTTTAATCCAATAACTTAAATTTTTCGCATTGTACTCTCTCGATGAATGTTTGTAAACTATTTTAATTTTTATACCCTAAATGGAACAAAAATCATTAAGTATGATTTATGTATAGAATAGAAAATAAAATATTATGCGAAAATATATAAAGAAACAAAATAAATAAATTTATTGAAATAACAATTATACGAACTTAAATTAAAAACTTCTTATTTTTCAAATTTCATTCAAAATGTTATAATTAATGATATTTTATTTACCTTATTATTCAGCAAAACAGAAACTTAATCCTTTTTATGATGCTGGTTGTACATATTGTATTTACACTTCTTACTCTTTTCCAAGATTGTTACTATACCAAACTATTATATCAATTATATTCCATTAATAAAAGGTTCAGTGGTTCACAAAAAACTGATAGAAATTAAGTATCATGAGCATTACACTATCGTTCTTGCATTAGACTTGCAGTTGTTACTTCAATATCACTGATATTTTCAGGCTGAAATTCACGTTTCTGTTTGTAAAGTGAAAAATGTCTTTGATTTCTTCCTTCAAAGAAGATTGTATCTTTTTATTTTCTTCATAAGATAAACATGAAATTATGTTCTCATAAACACAGGTATTCATTTTTCATTCGAAATTGAGGTTAAGTAGATTTAATTGTAAGCTTTATACGCTTTTACGCTCAAAATTGACGTAAAGGTAATCGATGTTTGTTATACCAATTTTTGAATTCATTAGTTTTACCTTGCTATACTCGTTATAGGGAAGAGTAATAACATTATTCAAAAGTTTTTCCAAACTCTCGCTAATATAATTTCTTCCCAACGATATCCAGATGGCGCGATTCAATGGCGCCTGTGGCGTATGTTATTTTCGACTACGCAACGGGCATTCTACACTACCGAAATTCATGACTAGCTTTCAATAGTCATAGAACATTTTTGTGTACGGGACTCTGTAACTGTAACGCATTATAAAGATTCGTCATAGATTACAGCCCGAGAGATGTAACTTTCGCAACGCAAAGCAATTAATCCGCACACACTTTGAAATGGGAATTTGTGCCACGTCCAACTGTCTACTGAAATTCCTTTACTGCAGCTATGACGTTGCTTATATTCGTAATGGCTGCGATTATATTTCTGAAACTTAAACGTATAACATAAATATAAAAAAAATACAAATTTTGTTATAATTTGTTCAGTATTTCAAATTGCTATAAAACTTGATATTTCAACAAGAAATTAAAATAAATTATACATTTACATTTTTATAAACACCTTTTTCTGTACCTGTAACATTGATGCGCATGTGCGCATGCGCATGATTGTAGGTATGCAAGCGCAAAATTTCAATTGGAACCTGAGATAGCGTAAAAAATATTTTTTATGTAATTAATTTAATTTGTTTAATTTCTTTTCAAAAGATTATTATTATTTATGATCAACGAAGTAATTACGTCATTAAATAAATTAAGTCAAATTTTATAAAATGTAAGTTACTGTATATTATGTATGACAAGAACATTACAAGTTCTAAACATTTATTTTATAATACACAAAATATGCTAAATATTCAATATTTTAAACTCATAATAAATGTTAATTAGAAATTTACAATTTTAATACGTATTTTTAATACTTGACAATTTTTATTTTTAAAAAAACATTTATTTTTAATTAAATACAAAAGAATTTAGGATATTCAATAATAATATAATAACATAAAATTTCATAAAA